GGTTATCTATGCTTACACTGCCTTCTTTTACAATGAGAGGGAAGGACAGGATGTTCAAGGTTTAAAGAATATTGGAGAGAAAAAAATTAATCAAATTAAATTGACATCTTGTACACAGGTGTGAAATGACTAGAAGAATACCAATAAAATCTGGATAGCGTTTCCTCTGGAGAGGGAGGAGAGTCATGGGGCTAACTGGTTATAAAGGGGACTTTAGCTTGATCTGTGATGGTTTTTTTCATTTAAAATGTAAATGGAAGCAACTATGACAAAAAAAGTTAGCAGCTGTTTATTAAGAGAGATAGAATATAAAGCCTCTTGGGATATAAGTATGCCACTGGTTTATTATGTGATAATTGAGAGGAGAAAAAGAGACATGACTTTAGACAAAAAAAGTTAGCAGCTGTTTATTAAGAGAGGTAGAATATAAAGCCTCTTGGGATATGTCTGTCACTGATTTATTATATGATAATTGAGAGGAGAAAAAATAGACATGACTTTAAATTATCAAGCTGGAGTCCTTAAAAAGGATCCCCAGATTTGTCTTGATGACGGGTCCCTCATATGAAATCTTTAGGCTGAGTAGGAAAAGGTCACGGGAGAAGGAGGAGGCTCTGAGGGGAGAGTGTAAGAGTTAGTCGGATAGTTGGAAGGCTATGCTGTGGGCTGTGGTGTAATAATAACCATCTTCATATCAACTTCAGCAGCTTTGAGGGCTATGACGTGTAGCCCTTTAGAAATGCCTTGGTTGTAGGACACAGCAGCTGTAGCCACATGCTTTCCATCCACCCACCAGCATCAAAACATCAGTGAGCTCTGAGCCTTGCTCCTTCCTTGTAGTATAATTGCACTTCAAGTGGCTAAAAGCCCACAGAGGGACAGACACAGAGCCTGCTGTCCTGCCATTAGCCCAGTGGGAGTACAGTTCTCACTGTTCCATCCTGATCAAGCTGTTGGATACTCCAAAAGTTCAAGATCCAGTGCCTGGACTTGGTTTGCTTAAGAGAGAGTGCTTTAGGTTTCTGTTGAAGGGATATGTTTTTGAAATGGAAATGGCAGCCATGGTAATTAGCAAAAATCGTGATAATAACACTATCAGCAATAAAAACCCAGATTAACCGGGCGTTTATTACCTGACAGACACCGAGCTGAGCACTAGAAAGCTAATCTTACAGAATTCTCTCAACAACCCTCAGAAAGCTGAGGCACAGGGAGACTAAATTATGTGCCCATGGGACTCTCAGCTAATAGATGGCAAAACAGTGATTCAGACCTTGACCATGTGTCTCAAAAGCCCATGAGCACTAGCTTCCTAGCATTAAAAATTAAATTATCACCC